TTTCAGCTCTGTGCAAAAGCATTTCGGGTCCAGGTTGAATAAATAAATTTAAAAACGGCAGGTCAAAGAGGTACAGATACGAGTTTCGGTGACATGTGATCAACGGGAAGACTTTGACGAAAGTTCAGAAATAATGTGAAGTTGGTTACCAAACGTCCGAGGCGAGCGTGTGGGCTGAATTGCGCACTACTGATCAACTTGTCAGCAAGAAAATTATGGGAATGTGAAATTAATGAGACATGTTCGAAAGATGTAGGTGGATCGGTTGTCGTTAGAAGAGGCTAACTTTTATGTAGGTCAACAAATCCTATTGAAAGTCTGGGTCACAGTTATTCATGCACCAGCCCAGGCAAGACCCAAATTAGCTGTCGGTATGCTGTAGATCGTGTCGTAGGGGAACGATGATAATTTGGGGGGGGCTTGCGGTTGGGGTTAAACGTCTGACAGTAAGCTGCTGGAATGCTGGAAAACAGAGAGAACGGTTGGTGACAAGAGCAATACTTTAAGATGAAATGATGAATGTATGTCGATACGGTGTCCAGCTGGATATTTCATGACGTTCTATCTCGAAAGAGTACCCGACGGCCGAACTGCTGAGTCCATCCCCTGGCAGACATTTCTGTTCTCCCTCACTTTATGCTCATTTGATCCCCGTTTCTCCGCTCTTGAGTACAACTACCAGTCATCAGTATTTAATTGGATTTCACCAGTACACACATCAACACACGATCCACGGTCTACGGACAGTTAATTGGGGTTCATCACCATACCGTTACCTAAGTCCATATTTTCAGGTGAGACAACAGTCCTTATCCCCGGCGCTTGGAACTGTAACGAAACCCCGGTTTTTTGACATTTATGCAGTCTGTTTGATAGGTTATGTTACGCCGATATGTTTACTTGTCCTACAGAGCGATTAACGTCAAAAACAGACAGCGATGTGAAGTCAGCTCTTAAAAGTCAGTGACTGGTCTACGTTCAAAATTACATGACATTGAGGTCTGCCATCATCAGCCAGCGACAGATAGTGTTGCCTCGCACTCCGAGATGTTGTCGAATTTCTCCAGCCCTATACCACTAGGACGCTGCTTTTTTGATCCAATTTTCCAACCAACACGCGGTTTCCTGACACATCTTACCGTAGGTCATCATATTCATTTGTTTTCCTTAGACCAGCATAAAGACAGGCCTAGACCAATTGCCTGCCCATAAAAATCACTTGGCTGAAACCGAGTAGACCGCTTTTGCAGGTTTATCGTCCTATTTCCAGTGCTAGTAAAGTTGTTTTTTACTCCTATCGCATTGTTGTTGGCATTTGATAAGGGTGTCTTCCTTCAGATAGATTTCTTTTGTTAAAATCGTTGATTCAACCTGATAGGTTCCTATGCAATGAATGACAACTTTTTTGGATAATTCAATATGCCAGCTATGCGCTACTGCAAGCATAGTAAACATGGTTGAATTTACTCTTAGGCTTAACAAACTACTCTGTCCTGTGGTGTTTTCTTTACGACTGAATCTTGCGCGCACTGGAAAGTGCTGAAGTACCTTTTGGACTCCTGGAAACAACTTGAAAGTGCACCTTTCCTACCGGAAATAACTTAATGTTCCATGACCGCCTTTTTGCGCTACAGTGGCGTCATTTTTAACTGGGTGGCACCCTGCTTAGTATTCTGACAACAGGATCAGTAAATAATACGCGGGTCGCGGTCAGGGCAATTCCATTATTGCAATCCCTAAAAGCTTTTGTACATTGCAAGTAAATACACTTTCTGGTTTCAAATGCAAAAACAATGCGGGACTTATCTGCCAGGACATAGTAATGCTGCCATGCATATGTTCCAAACATTTCCCGATAGCCCCTGTCAAGTAACCTAGTGTTACTAATTCGTTTCATTATTTCTTTGTTAGTTCTTTTTCGTCTTTTATATCGTTTATTTTTAAGCAGTCGGCCGGGCGCGGGGTAAGAGAATGCCACCTGTTGTTTAACGAATTCACCAGCATTTTATCACTCCTGCCTTACTGGCAAACGTGCGCATTCCACCTAAAAATATTTCGGGTATTGTCCCAATACCTGACACCTCTCCGTGCCGACCTTTTTTTAGAAAATGGGCCTCCCACTTTTTGAAGAGTTGCGTGTGGGGGCTGCAGAACAATGAACCAATGTAAACATTTCATCAGCACCGGCTCTTCGGGAGGCTGCAGGTCAGTGAATGTCATCCTGCCGATGAAGGGCCGACCGAAAGTCCTACCGAAAAGTATCTGCTTTTGAGAATGGTTTAGGCAGTTATGTATGGTCTTTCCTTGCATATTTTAACCCTTACCGTCAGCCTCTGTGACGATTTGCAATGTAAGGACGTCCAGAACTATTGAGGCTCTTTAACTATTGCCTCCCTGTCAGTGCTGATTATACCCTGGCACAAGCATTCCTGTGAACTCGACTTCGGTTCCTCCGAAGTTATTGCGCATTTCCTTTGCACACGTGAACAAATTCCAAGTGTATTTTGCTTTAGCTACCAATTTTTTCCAATTCACCATTGTTTGGCCAGAATGGCAGGTTGCCCCTGGGGTGAATTGATCCTTCGTTTCACGCAAACACTGGGACCGGATATTTTGGTACCACTTATAGACAATTATGCCTCTACTTTGGATGCATATTTCATGCAACAAGTGAAGCTTGGACAGGACCGTAACTTTAACCCCTCAGGTTTAGCGTACGCCGAGTCACGCAAAATGGGATTTAAAACGATTCCGGTAGACCTTAGAGCTAGGTGCCTTCAGTCCTTTTCGAGACAGCGACGGCATGTACGCAAGAACCGGCCGCTATTATTATATATTTTGCGAAATTTTATGACGCGATAGTTGACTTTAAATCCACCTAACCAGTCGCAATCCTCCTCTGTAGGTTTGTTTGAACTCTGAAGGAACAAATTTTGGGCTACTCCACTGAGTACCGGTCAAAATAACCGGAAGATGACCCTTTGCATAGTTTGCCTGTGTTCATACATTCAAACTTACGAGTTCCTGTCGATATCCGTGTCAAGTTAGTAAAAAATAGACAAACCAATGTTCTTTGGAATATATTTTTTGCACTTCTACAAAACCTAACGATTTTCAAGTACAACTTACTTCTAAGTCTACTTCCACCGTGGCTACGCATTTCGTTATCTTAGCGGACTTGCTTGCAATATTTATGGTAAGCATGTTCAGAAAGAACAGGGCTGACTGAAGTTGGAAGAATCTTATTTGTCCAACGTTTACAGTTCGTTCGCGGGACCATCGTCAAAGATAACAAATAAGCATGGCGGATTCACAAACTATGCAACGATTTCAGTTTAAACCTCTTGTGCAACTAAAGCATCAGCTTTTGCATTCCACAGAGGTAGTTGAACATGTTGCAAGATTCCAATGACCGCCGGCATCCGAGTCGCTGTAATTTCATCGCAAGTACTGGCCACTGACTGGACGAAGGCTCGAAAAGTTAATTCCCCTTGTAGTGCTATTGGGAGCAGCATACACCCTTGCATTTCCAGTGTCACTAATTAGTCTGCCCAAACAAACACTGGATGGAAAATATGGAGGGTGAGGTCGTTGCATCAAATGATGTATGGTAGGCCGCAGAACCACGCATAAAACTGCTCACATCTCGCGTGAGAACTTCGGTCTCCTAAAAACTGAACTTATGGTGTGGACCCTTTCCAATCAGCCGTACCTTCAAACTCGACAGTATGTCCTTTTACTGCGACTACATGTTCAGTCATCCTTGTTCAGAATACTTTCCTGTTTCTTCGACGCAGTCGCTTTGACGGTGCTTGTGCCGGACCCTGAAAACGACTCAAGCGTATCTAGACGACGGCCTCATTGTAGCCTGGCACCCAATGGTTGTGACCTGTCAGTGTGCAAACGCACTTTCAAAGATTGGCTGTTTAGGAGATGTTCATGGTGTGTTTGCCAAAATTTGGGAACTGTTTGCTCTGTTTTCCTAGTCATTCGTTTTTGTAATGGTTGGCGAAATTGCATAGGTAGCCATTCCTTCTATGCGCTCATCTAATGTTGTTTCGTGGAACAGTCTTGTCTTCCGTTTAACCACCGTGTTTATCAATCCGCAGAATAGATCGCATTTAACAAATCTTCACCAAAACTGTCAGAAATAAAAGATAAAAAGTCGAAAACCAAGCCATACCGACCCACAAATTGTGGGCCGTTCACATACGTTAAGGCCCTCTCTAAAGACAACATCCAACACCACATGTCCCTTAAAAACACCACTGCATGCAAAGCAGTCCAACAATTTGGCAGAAGGTTTAAACGAGACCGAAATACTCAAAACCGCGGTGAAAAACGTCAGTAATTCTGTTTTTAATCTGTTTCAGTCAACGTCAAAGAGGCTGAGTTGCAGACACAGGAAGATTACTTAGAGCGCGGATAGTTGAACTTGTGACAGCGGTGATGAGAAATGAACCCAATCCTGGAGCCACAACTTTCCCTCCGGGGCTCAACTGTAGCCTCACCGCTGAAGACGCCGAGATGCAGCAACCGACTCAGCTGCAAGCGGTTTTTATAATGATTATTAAGCCATTCGGTACGCCAACAAGCATAACGACTCCCCCCCCCTCCACCCAGTTTTCTGCACACGGAAAAGCAATCTGAAAAGCAAACATTTAGGGGCAGATCATTCAAACAGAAGCTTCTCCACTCTGGCTTCTCAAAATTCCTTTCAGACGCATCATTAGATATTCCAGTGAAAGAGCCAATACTGTTTTCAATACGACCCCATTATCAAAAGTGCTCCCGCCCTTGGCTCGGTGAGGATAAATATTTTGCGGTAGCTCTGTCCAACTACTGGCTTATCTTTACTATTGTTATTGTTGACATCTGACGGAACTCACTCCGTTTTGACATTTTAGTATTACTGTCACTCATTGAGTCCAGCATAACAAGGAGGCGCTGGAAACAGTTCCAAATTAAATAGATAAAATTACAAATAGGAATAGGTGAACTTACAACAGTCGCTCCGTTTCCCTACTTTCTACTGTGCGAACACGATCGAGCACGCATCGGATTTGAGCCTTCTCCTCTTCACTCAACTGCGAAGCATCCAGAACTTCACACGCTGAGTCCTGCAGGCTGGTGGAGGAGAGTTCCCTCGGCTGCGAACCACTTTCCTCTTCCGAAGACGACGTCCGTGTAACAATGAGTCTTTTAATTACATCCAGCAGAGGTCCCTTCTGTTCTTTGTCCGACTGTCGTGGAATCAACTGTGAGCCCCCCTGACTGCCTCCGGATACACTTCTGACAGTGAAACTGCCGCGTTGACGATGGTAAAAACCAGAATTATCCGAACTGTCCGTGTAGTCAGCCTCAGATGGCAGCGACTCCTGTCGTCGCATCTGGTCGGGGCGTATTTTCACGCGTCCAGTCGAGGAGGACTCGGAGACGTCGCCCGTCACACTGGAGCGTCGGGGATCGGCCTGGTAGTCGACAGTCTCTGAGGCACTCACTTCGTTGCCCATGGTCAAGAAAAGAAGAACTTAAAAAGCGCCCAGAATCTTACAGACACTCCCAAAATACGTCGGGGCGAGTGTGTTTCAGCGGGCAGGGGGTGGGCTGTCAGGGCAACATAATGCCTCCGCCTTCGGTTGGCCGCATTTTGTCAATCAAGCGGACACGGTGACATGACAAATAGTCCAAAACAAAACCGTGCGAAATTAATCCGTCTGCGGGCAAACACGTGTGGAATGAGTAGACGGTTGAGCCGGCGGTGGCGGCGGCAGTGGAAGCGTCCAATGAGCGCGTGAGCACAGACTGACCAATTGAAACACAGTCAAATCACAAACAAATGAATCAATGACCCGGACGGTAGCAAGAGCAGCAGCTACATCATCCGCATTAGTTTGCTTTTCCAGCTGGCAGAACGGCCGTCTGGACGCGGGAACAGCGAGACAGGGAGAGCAAGAGAAAGAGGGAGAGAGAGAGAGAGCAGAGAGGAGCACTGTAGATGTACTCGATCTGTCGCCCGTGTTTTTGCGTCACAATTCGGCCGTGCCGCCAAATAGTAAAATACAGCTAATGGCGAGCGGTGCAAGAAGACAGGGAAGACGAAGGAAGATCCATTGGTCGACGTTTTTAGTGACCGTTACAACGCCAGCCTGTCTCACATCTTCCCACCCCCCCCCCCCGCCTGCATCGCCAGGAGGGGAGAATGACGCAAATGAGGGCATGTAGCCCGACAGCGCTTGTCACCCGAATTAAAAGAGGGGAATAGTGTCAGAAGGACTAATGTAAAGGTGTCAACATGATTTCGTAGACCGTGTGTAAAGCTTGCAGTTGGAAAAACTAGGTGACGGCCAGACTGACTTATAACTAGCCCCTCCCTGAATATGTTGCGTGTACGGTCTCTCGTCAATTTCGATAAAACATGTTACCGTATTTTGGGTTTTGGATAAGCAGGATCGTGCCCCCACCTCCGATCGTCTTGGCATCGGGGTGAGGCGGGGAGTGGATAGAACGATTGGGCGCGGTAAATACTTCGAAAGTCCGCCTTACTGTAATCTAATTTCCACACAAGTCATCAGTACTGCGTCCACTTCGTAGGACACGTGGTGAACTTCGTCGCCCACTGTGGTCGAACAGTCGGGTCAGCTCGCTGACGTGTATATTTTGCCATTAATCTGCTCATCTTTTTGGTGTGCCGTTGCTGTAAACTGACAGTGTTTTTATCGAATTCCAACCCCATCAGTGACTTTATTTCTGCACTACCAGTGATAAACTGGACCATCGGAAACGATAGGCACGAAACTTAGGATGTTTTATGCCACCGTTTGTGGGCACTTTATCGTTCTGACTCAAATAACCCCTATTTACACACTCCCCCTAGTACAGTTCATCTGTGGAGGGAGAATTGTCCTGGTGGGGAGTTGGGTAGTTTTGAGTCAGTTTAACCTTAGGGCTCCTCAGTTGACAAATTGTAATAAGTTGTGAAAGATTTCTTTTAACAAGCATTTTCCGAAAATACAGCTCAAACCCTTGTTTCACTTTCAACCATATGGAAAGATTCGCTGTTTGACCCAGCATCTACCAAGTCATTAAGTAAAGTCCTCAACCGGCAGAATCAAAGGCCCACTCTGTGTAGATTACGATGGGAAAATAGTGCATCGCCTGGGAGGAGTGTTTACCGACCACAGATGGAGTAGAAATATGTACGCAATTCACCCCTCGCCCCAGCACTTGGTCGCGAGACCACCTTTAAAACGGTCGTAACGGCAAAGGAGAATTTACAAATTAGGTCATTCTGTGGAATGGACAGTACGGCTGAAATTATGTGATAAGTAGAAAAAACCATGCGTTTTTAAAATATTTTTAACGACTGAGCTCAAGCGCGCACAGCACACGTAGTTAGGAAAGAACCGCGCGATCGCATAATAAAAGTCTGCACACCCATTTTCCGGACAGAGTCGGGTTACTGATCCACAAACGATCCCCACCTTCAAAATCCCGTTTTGCAGTGAAGTTTTTTTGCACTATGCTTTTATCTTCCTGAATTTGGCATATAACGATTCCTTCCGGACTAAATAAACGACATAATATCCTTTATGACTAGAAGAAGTGGGATTTAAAAATCCCACAGTCTACCACTGGAAGTGGTTAGGAGATCCCAGCACTCAGCAAGTAAAGACGGTTTTGGACCTTGTAATGACCTTCCCCAGTGGCCAAGTTCGGCCGGAATAAAGGTGGGCGGTGTCTACTACGGCAGCTAATCCGAAAAAGCCGCTAGCGATGGCTATTGGTGAGACGCTGATGAGCTCTGTGTCAGTCCCCCCCCCGCCGCCTACCCCCGCCGGCGAGGCCAGTGAAAAAAGTCATCGCGCAAGAATGTGCGCCGCTGTCAAATTTTGTTACTTCAAGTCCCGGCAGTGTGGTCTGGGTTGGCCGAAGGTTTCAAGGTCAACAGATTCACTAAAACACCGCCACGGCAACAGTAGGGTGAAGGAGCCTAATTAATGGTCAGTATGCTGTGGATCTTGACATATATTTGCAGGTAATTGCAAGCACTAAACAGCCAATAGCACTTGCCCCTTCGGACCCCAAGCAATTTTTCAAACTCTGTATTTTTTTACAAACAGTTACCTTTTATTTATTTTTTTCATTAACGCGCTAGTTTCTTTGCCAAACGAAAGCGTACAAGAGGTTTGTCGACAGAAATCCAAACGATTTCTGTGTTTTCCTGCATTTCGTCCGCTTACTTTCCGGAGTGCTGCCCCACCCGTTAACCTCCTATTACCACCATTCCCGCATTACACGATACAAAGACCACCGACAGTTAAATGGGGTCCTTCATCCTACCGTTGCCGCATCCGCCTCAGAAGGGTTTTGCAAAAGATACGAAGATGATATGATAACCGCAAAAAATCCATCGTCTTGATTATTCAAGCTTAATTGAGGTCATTACAGTTAGAAGTGCTTTTATGTCAACTGCGACGGAAAACTCTCATCCTCAAAACGGAGCTTGCGAAATTCCTCAGGCTTCTAAGATACTACAAAAACGACGTCGCCCATTTCACAGTGATGGTAACAGTGAACAGCAGTGCCGCCGAAACCTCAGCTAACTGACTGATTAACCTTCATTAAAAGGCGTCCTGGAAATCGATACAAGTTGTTGGTCCCAATGAGCAGTTGAGGAGCAGGTGTGATCGCTGGAATGCGAGCTCTATTTGTCTGAAGTCTTGCATTGGCACTCGACTCCATCACCAGAGAAATCATCAGATAAGGCTCATGCACGTACAAAGGTTGCAATATTTACAAGATGCAGTTGTCATGCCACCGTATACCTATCAAGATTGGCGGCTTCCCATTCATCGCAGGTGGTTGCACATGTTGCGATCACTACATAATCACGATATTTTCCAAAATTATTTTGATCACTGGCGGGCTAATCACTCGAATGTTAGACTCATTAATACTGACAACGGAAAGAGCGTTTACGCTCGCTACTCACATGGTTAACTACCTCGCTCAAGCAAAGTCTTAGCACCAAATACGAAAGGAGGCCCTGCGCACCCATCACTCAGGTCTGATGCTGTCTCTGAAGATGGCTTTGTGTGTGAGTACGAAACGTGGTGACCTGAGAGTTTTAACAGACTCTATTGGCGTCTTCCGGAATCGCTTTGCCTTACCCACTTGCGCACCTGTCGAGAAACAGATCCCGGATAACTGCAAGCGGACTCCGACGCAGTGGCCGACGACATTAAACATCCCAATAGAAGCGCAGAGTTGAGTCCCAGGAAACAGCCTTGAAAAAGGAGACACGATCGCTGGAACTAGAGCTTTATTAGCCTGACGTTTATTGGCCACCAGTCTATTAACAAGTGCAATGAACTTCCCCTTCCATACTCAGTGCTGAGACTTCGCCTAGGTGGAGTAATTTTCCACACGGGGAGCCCACAGGTGAACACTTTTCCCAACGCCAGGGTCAGCGCGTCAGATGGTCGAGCAATCATCACACCAACATCCAACACACGTGACGAAATTACAGCAATTAACGACGCGAATGTCGGACTTCAAACAGTCAGCACACCTAGTGCAACGATCTCTGAGGAAGGGGGTAGCCGTGAATATTCATAGCTATGCGGTAGCCTGGCGACTGCATTCTATAAATACTGCAGCCCCTTGTGCATGAGCCACCCGTATTTGTTTTTGTCTCTGATGGTGAGTTTGAGCAGGAATCTGAAACGCCAGGCTAATAAAGCTCTTGTCCCAGCAATCGTGTCTCCTTCTTTAAGATTGAACATCCCGTCTACGCGTGCAGCACACGGACATGTTTCCACGCAATGGACGGGATTTACAAACAAAAAACTGGCAACGATAGGCTGTGAAACCCCGCTTCGCTACTAACAACTGCAGGCTCGTATAAAACGGAAATGGTGATAAGTTAAGGTTTTACGGGTGGGCCATCACCGCGTAGGGAGAGCGAAATGCGTACAATAACACACGGAAAATTGATATATTTACGCTGAACTTCCTCTTCTACGCCTATAGATGGCAACAAAAGCGGGCGCGTCAATCGAAGAATAAAAAGGAAAGTCTTAATAAATAAATGGCAATTTAATAATCCACCGCCGGCTAATTTGCGGCAGCTAAAGGACCAATGAAACGAAAAGCCAATCGGAGAGAAGAACAGTAAGTGGCAAATATAGTAACCGTGACAGTTTGCTTCAAGGCGATGCGATGCACATGAATATTAAAAAAGACTATGGAAACACACCGTAAAGACCAAGAAAAAGACCAAATAACTTAAGAATGGACGCCCCTTTGTATCTGTATAATAACTCAGCTGACCACTGTAAAATAAAAATTTAAGGAAAACAAACATTTCGGTGTGAAGGTTATGTAGAATAATGGACAACGGTATAGAGCAGAATCCTACTTAACTGACATTAGACGGTCGATCGTGTCATTTGGGGTTTTATCTTGACATATATTTGCAGGCTGTTGCAGAAATTACACCGCCAACAAC